TGAGCATGAGGGTTGTCTATGCCATATTATAATAAGCTTTGTGTATTGTTGTTGGGGAATATGTATTGATCATGTTGGGTTTTATTTTGTAAGATGATTTGTATGTGAGATGGCCTAAGCAATGGATTGCTAGGTGTCACGATGTATGCATGTAGCACTTATGAAATCCCTTTCGATATCATAATTTAGGTGCCAAAAAAGGTATGAAATAGCTTAACTATACCATATACATGGTCGACACCTGTTGTATGTCTTAGGTGAGGACAACTAAATACAAGATGAAGTGATATGGGGAAGGGGTTGAATTCTAAACCCTTAGCCCAAAGAGAGATATTTCGTTTCGCCACTGTTATGAAATATACGAATATTGGTGATCTAATATATGAATATCAGGTATCCGGATATGATATCCGAATATGTCCCCGACATATATCCGGATATTCTGGACGAACAAGGGCAAAAATAAACATTTAAAAAGAAATGCTTGTAGACCTTATGGAATATGGAAGGCTTAAATCCATCTCTACGGAGTGTGATGCCTTAATAAAGGTTAAGGAAAATGAGAGTAGCTAAAACGAATAATTTAAAGGTGATTGGATGTCCTAGTGTGTGCAATTGTTGAGACGGTACATTGGAGAGCGTTTCTCTCATGGTACATAGTTCGAGTAGTATGTAATTAAGAATGAACATAATTAGTAAATGAGATAATTAGTGAACAAGTAATATAGAATGAGATTAACTTAACATGCAAGTAACTATTATAAATTAATATAGAATGAAAAAAGTTTAGTTACGTTATTACACGAGATTTATTATGAATTAAGATGATTATCTTTCGCATTTATTTGATTAATTAGTTGCGCTTAATACCATAAAGCAAGATAACAAACTGGTCACGAACAGGGTGTTACATCCCCTGTTCCAAGGTGCTCCCAGTGCCAGGATTGCCGCTTCCGGCGCCAAGTATAATGACCCTATATGATAAATCTTAATTAGAGATTTAAATTAAGGATTTAAATGCCATAATTAGATTCAGTGAGTGAATTCGAGTATTTTGACTGTAATCATGACTAGGTTATGAACAGTGCGTTCTGTCGGAGAATTTGCAGTCTTGTGAATTAACCGGTAGAGCTAAAATGAGTAAAATGATTTTAGAGACATAATTTGACAATTCTAACTCCATATATGAGTTCAGAACAAAAAATTGTATAGTCTGGCACTTTCCGTGAAAATCTCGTGAATAGTGTTTTCTGCCGGGTATTTTGTATCACTGTTTAAGCAACCGGTAGAGTCCAGAAACAAATAATTGATGAAATAAGAATAAGAAAATCCAATATATGCCAAGCAAGTCAATATAGGCCCAAGAAAATTACAAGTTTATAAGTCTTAAGTTCAGAAGTAAACGAAGTACAATTAGTGGTTCACAGTGTACTTCGTTAAAAACGGTGCAGAAATCATACTGTGAATTATGAATATTGTTCCTTAGGAAATAAAAATTAATATAAATGAGTTTAGAAAAATAAAAATATGTCTGTAGCTTTAAGTTAGTTCCGGGTCAGTTTAAGTTAAAATACGCGAAAGAAAAATACCCGGTTAAAAGCCACATGTGCTTATAAAACATAAGTGACTTAAGTGATCACTATTCACTCAAAGAAAAACTCTCTTCTCTCTCCTTTGGCCGAGCTGCAGCTATGGAAGGGGGCAAGGGTTTTTGTTTCTTGTTTCTTTGATTTCTCCATGAATAATCCACCAAATCTTTGACCCATTATACCAATCTCATAGGAAATCATCCAAGGAAGGTATTCCACCCCTCCATTTGAGCTGATTTCGTTTGTGGAGGGAGATATTCATCACCCCATTTTCAGATTACTATTCATCCAAGGTGAAAAAGGGAGTTTTTGGTGTAGTCTTGCTTGGAGGTTACATCCTAGACCTAGTATAAGCTTTTGGAGGTAATAAACCTCTATTTCCATGCTAGTATTTTGATGATTTATGTTATAAAAATTATGAGTATGTTTTGGTGGGAAAGCATTGGGTGTTAAACTTTGATTTGATGATGAATCTTTGATGTTTGGGATATAAGAATGGAAAATAAGCATTGGTGTATGTTTGAAACAAAAAAAATCCCATGGAGTATGGCCCTCTATGCCTCGGCCTTGATAGGGTTAATAGGGTTCATTGTGCAAATTTTAGTTGATGTATTAAGAGCATTTTATTGTGTTGGAGTAAGTATGAATGTAGAAAGAAGGCCTAAGTGGAAAAATCCTATGTGCTTTGGTCATTACATTTCGGCCTTGGGGGTTGTAAGGGACTTGATGTTCCAAAATTTTATTGGAACCATTTTGGGATACATATATGTATGTTTAAGTTGCTAACTAAGTGAAGAAATAATAATTTAAAAGAAAAGAACCCTTTTGCCTATTTTCCTTGTAGAGTTCGACCTATAGGGTGGCTTAGGGATAGATCTTGTTACATTTTAATTTAATAAAATGTGTTGGATTTCAAGATACTAAATGGATGAATTAAGAAGTGAAATGACTTGAGAAATTGTGAAAAATAACTGATTTTCCTAAGGGTATGTCCACGGTTTTTTTGAAGTAAAATGGCATGATTTATGTTGAAAATCCTTAATGGAATGCTTGATTAAATTAAAGAACATCAACTGTTATATAGAGGTCTAGACTTGTGTATTGACATAGCATTGGCAAAAACGTAAAGAAACGAAAAGAAGCGATAAAATGCATGCCTTATGTAAAATTTAGGCATGATAGCATTTTATTGATTTGTATTTGTGGATTCTTGCTCTAGGTGTACCTAGGGACTGAAAATGATCGGAATCTCTTGAAGATATATAAGTAACTTGTGTCACAAGTAAGCAGATTGATAAAGCTTCAAGAGGTAAGCTCTATGTTTAAGGAGTCTTTTCCTGCTCGAGTGCTCCACCATAGTTAGTGGATTGTGGTTGGAATGTATGACTGTTGATATGATACTTTGTATAGATGCATTCATATAGTTATTTGATAACATGATATGACTTGCTCTGATATGATTTCTGTATTGATATATGGTACACTGATGTCTTCTTGGGGTTTCCCTGAGATTGACGATGTACACCTCTGACATGCTTTGGTTCCGCTTGGGGTCCTCCCTTGGGAACACGTGCGTTGATTTCCGCTTGGGGTCCTCCTTTGGGAATGACGGCGCACGCCTCTGATATGATATGAATATATGCTTTGTTCTATTATGATATCTGTTATATGTACATTGTATACTCTGTATCTGACTTTCATGCAGGAGTGAGCCAGAGGTATGGAGAATTCTCTATAAACCTGGAGCTTATTAAGATTTGTAATCTCACCCCATGTTGGGGCCATATTTTCAGGTGCCGAGATCCCCGGTGAGACCTCTCTAGTCAAGGATGCGACCCGTGGCTGAGGATTTTGGACGGATTGGATTTTGAGTAGCTGTAGGCTACTTTTATTTTGGAGTATAGTGCTTTCATTTAGTATTTCAGTATTTTGTGGATCATGATGTTAGATCTTTTATTTTGTATATGGCCTGTATATGTTTTGTACATGTCTGTCAGTTTGATGCATGTACATTTGAGTATTCAGGCACGTTATATGATGATGTAGTATTCAGTTATGTTTATGTATTGAATTGCATGTTGTTAGATTAGCGGCACTGAGCCAAGTGATGCATGCGCCCATGGATGGGTATCTGATTATATTTGCATGACTGGTACTTCTGGAGTGATGTGCTGTATAAACTGTTTATCAGGAAATGCTTCTGAGTAGGATTGGAAAATCCCCAGTTGTCCAATTTATAGAGGAAACTCTGCCCGATTTTTGTTTACGCCGAGTAAGAACTAAAGTAGAAAAAGAAAAAGTTAGCTCGTATTTTCGTAAGTTAAGTCTTTTGTTGTTTCTGTTTATATCATATGCATGTTAATTGAACCGGCTCGAGACGGGGATGTTACACCAAGAAATCGAAAGAATCGAGTCAAGCGTTTCCAGCGCCAAGAAACAGTGGGAGAACGAGTCACAACGCTTTCTGTGTTAGGTTGGCGCTCCAAGCGCCATGGTGGCCCCTCCAACGCCAGCATATATCGTTTCATAGCATAGTAAAATGTGCATATCTCGAGTTATAGAATTCTGAATCGAGTGAGGTTTGGACCTATGTAAAGCTAACTCAAAGATGTATAACTCTATAAAATATTAGGTCCTATGGATAAGTGGATAATTCCTGGTTCTACTTTAAAGTTGTTGTTCTACTTTTGGAAGTCCAGTTTGAAGCAGTTGTGTCGCGAGTCGCATAACTCCGACTATACTTAACTAAATTGTTAATGTTATTCCTTGTTAGAAAGCTCAAGATGTCTAGTTTAACATAGTAAAATATTAGAGTTGTTAATGGGGACATGTAATCCTAGTTTTGGAAATAGTACTGACTTTTAATGTTTAATATGACGATAGAGTTTGTTTCTTTTGATTGTTCTTCCGTAGAAGGACTTATGGACTCTATGGTACCATTAGTTGAGTTTATCATCATGATAAGGAAATAAAAAATAAAAAGTTTAAACACAATTTTACATTATTTAATTAAAATCTAGTTGTGCTTAATATCATAATTACTGATAATACACTAGGTGCACAGAAAGTGTTGCATTAGGGGAAAAAGAGAAAATATAAAATGAATAACAAATAACCCTTTAATGAAATTTATATTTTAGAAGAAAGAAATAAATTATCATCACCTTTATTATTTACTTTTATCTTCCTTATTATAAAGCTTCCTCATTTTAAAATTCCTTTCTTTTTCTCTCTATATTTCTTAATTAAGTTTTCTCTAAATTTCTCTAGACTTCTTGATTTTTCTCTAATTTTGAAGCATCCTCTCCCATAGTGATTAGTGAATAGTTAATAAAAAATCACAAATTCAATTAGAGGAAGAGCAGAGACTCCATTATTAAACCAACAAAGACTCTCACTCATACTTGGCGTTCGATCACTTTGTGGAAGGAAGCCCCAACTTCAGTTTAGCAACGTTGTTGTGACACACACGTTCCACGAAAAAAGCCCTTGATTTGACGAAGAGATTGATGCCTTAAACCTCCTCTTTCAACCAACAATTCCCAAAGGCCAAAGCTCCCTCCTTTTTCATAGTGGGTGAGTTCCACTATCGATTTCCCACTATCTCATAACTTCAATATAAAGATTCATGGAACTATCAAAAATCTACACAGGATATAGTTGTTGTTGTTGTTGTCGTTTCGCTTTCCTTTCGTTTTCGCTCAGTGCCATCGCGCACTCAATTATGTTGGGTAGTCACTTTTGCATCGCACTTCCACCTAATTATTATCACTTAACACCCCATCTTGCTCTTATGCTTTGCTTTGAGTTCAAGTGCACTGCTTCACTGCATTGTTTTACTTTTTAGATTATTATTTTTTTATTGTCTATTATTTATTTTTTTATTTCCCCCCCCCCCCAAGAACTTTAGCTTACTTGGGGGGCATTGGACAGTTATGTGGTGAAGATTTTGTTGATTGGTTAATTTGTTGTTGTTTTTGATAGTCAATAGTTGGGTTCTGAGAGCATTTGGGTTTGATTTGTATGGTGGGGTTTGGAGAATCTGTGGTGAAAATGTGAAATGGAGATGTTATGATTTCACTCTTTGTCTGCGCTTTCATATTTGGTGTTTCGAATGTATGTGTAGGCAGTGTGTGAGGACTCTGACGAGTTGCTCCTGAGAATGGATGATGTAGCAGGTTTGGTTGAGGCAGCAGGGTCGAGATTTAGTTCATTGGAGCTCATTGGACAAGGATCATTTGGCGACGTCTATAAAGGGTAGGTGTTAGTTTTTGGACTTGCAAAGTTAAACTACCTTTTCACATTGAGATCAAAGGAGTATTTCTTAGTGAGTGAGGCTTTCAGTCTGTTGCTTCTGCAGGTTGACCATTGAGAACTGTTTTTTGTTACTACAAATTTTATACTTATTCTTCACATGCTTATTTGACACCATAGGGTGCCACAATGTATCATGTATTTGAAATATGTAATTTGATGCTAGTGTAAATAAAGGACCTTTTGTGGTGCAAACTTGAGTTGGTTAGGAAACATTAATGTGAATGTCATATAACTTACATAAGGACTAGAATCAATGGACTTTTTTGAACAATATTGTGCATTGTCGAAAAGAAGTAGAAAATGGGAAAAAGGGTGTATATGATGACATCTTATGAGGGATGAACTTTTTTACTTTGAATTCTTTTCCAAAATTTGGAAAATGAGTCACAAAGATTGAACTGTATAACATTTTCTGTTTTGTCAACAATCAACAGTTAGGTGCTATTGATGCAAAAACCACACTAAATCTTTCACTAAATATTTGAATGTTGGTTGATTCTGATAATTGCTTTGAGTCCATTGCAATAGAGGATGAACTTCATGTTCGCATATCATTCTATTAACTTATTATTCCAAAGTTTGAAAATTGAACCATAAATCTCAATCTCTCATATGTTAACTTACAGCAGCATTAAAGATAGTTTTCTTTCAAGGTTCTTATTTTCAGTGACAGATCCTGCAACTCAAATTAAGTGTAAGATTGCTAAATGGGTTGTGGCACTGATAACTATTCAAGCATATGTTGTCCTTGCATCTCTAAGATGGTTTGTGTTACCAATGTTAGGCAATATCAGATGGGATTTCCTTCAATTGCAAATAAGGTGACAGAATTCAACTGCTATCGTTCAGTAAAGTAATTTAAATATAATGATATGAAAAGAAAATTCTTCTAGGGATGTTCAAAAGGACTATAAAAGCAAAATGCTATACTTATGCAAGCAAAACTGGTGTTTAGTTATTCTAAGATCAAGAATCTAATTGCATATGTTTGTTACTTAGAAGCAGGTTATGTGCATGTTATTGATAATTGGAAAAATTACTGTAAATATTATTTGAAGGATGTAGGTCCTTTTTAGATTAGTTTCACATTTTTTTTGTTTTTTGTTTTTTAATAGATAGATTGGTTTCACTTCTAGTTAACACTTATATAGCAATAAAATGTTCATATATCAAATTCCATTTTCTTTTGTCTTAATATTTTTATAATTTAAAGTGATATGTCGTACTCTAGATGCATGGAAAATTAGTGTACAAATTATAATTAGTAAATTTATTGCTGTCTTTGGAACATGTCATGCCCTGGTTCCCATAAAGCTACCTATCTGGCAGATAGGAATAACCTGGTCTAAAGAACTAGTTATTGCTCTCAGAGAACTTTTATTAACAGGACCTTAAGTCAGATGTGGACGATGATTTGTTTCTCACTTTCTTGCACTTATCTTTTTCCCAGGTTTGACAAGGAGCTCAACAAAGAAGTTGCTATCAAAGTGATTGATTTGGAAGAATCGTAAGTATATTCTTTTCAAGAATGTTTGACATCAAGGAACTGTGGGATTGGCCGTATTATGAATATTAAATAATTATATAATCATGGGCATCTGGAAATACATTGGGACATCTTTAATTTAATTATCTCAGATTGTTTGTTTGTTAGAATTATGCAATACACGCCAAGTACTGCACTGGAAAAGTAACAGTTTCTCCTTGTTTTTCCTTGATATGTTCTTTGTACAAGGAGGATGCAATCCTGCTGTTTTTATCAATCTTTCCACTTTACTTAATTTCCCCGATTTATCCCCAGTAATCTTTCTGATATCACTAATTGAATTTGTTAGTCCTAAAAACTACAAAAGTGCATGCTATTGTGTTGCATTTATGTGGGTAATGGATCATTGGTGATAAGATTAGACTCACATTTTTTATCCATGGCAAATTTTACCAAAAGAAAACAATAATTGAAAAGATCTGTGAGAGCAGTCATCTATGCTTATTGTTTTGTTGCTCCCCCCTTCTCCTTTTTTGGGTGACGTGTATTAAAGGAGTGTTAAGTGTCATATCTCCTTCCAGCTTCTCTGCATTAAGTTGAAAACCTTACAGGACAGTTTAATGGTTATTTCATCTAAATTTTACCCTAGCCATAATCTATATGCAAGTTAGGCTTGTTTTGTAGAGTTCATATGGGAAAGGGTGGAGTGATGGCTAAGGTTGGGATCTCAATAAGCTTTACCCTTCTTCCTCTATTTGGGAACTCAGTAAACTGTACCCTTCTCGCATACTTCTTGGTTGTAAAGAACCGTTTTAACCCAAAAGCTTAAGTTGTTGGGTGAGGCTTTTTTAATGGTTTATACTATTCTCTAACACGCCTCCTCACATGAGAGCTCACTGGGCTTGAAGGGTAGACAATGCACAGGCCCACCTACTTATATTAAGAAACTCCACAAGACTTAATTAATTATTAATTAAATGGGGCGGTGAGGATCGAATTTGTGACCACTTTCACTCCGGCTCTAATACCACTTAAAGAACTATTTCAATCCAAAATTTTAAGCTGTTAGGTGAGGGGTTTTTTATTGGTTTATACTATTCTCTAACGTTGGTGATAAGGGGTTTGTTAGCAACTTTTTGCACTCTCTAGAACGTACATCACATGCAACATGCATGACAATAGAAGAACCATACCCGTGTCTGATGCTGGTGAAGAATATACTATCTAATGCCTACAATTACTGTGAATAGGGACCGATACCTTCATTTGTGGAGAGTAAATGGCATCCCTATAATAGGTGTTGTGCAACAATCAATACTCCATATACATTCAATTGTTTGTTCATCATTAGAAGGCTGAACATTATTAATTTAAATGGGAAGATTTCTTTAACTTTGTCTGTCATGCATCTCATCCATTTAATGTTGTAGGGAAGTGGAACACATACATAGCAAACCAAGTGGGCCTCATTTTTGTTGAGTATTTAATTTGTAGATTTTGTCTCTCGGTAGAATGTTCGTACCTACTTCATTTTATTGCCTTGTTGAACTCATAATCCTTATGCAATTGTTGCTTAGAGTTACTTTATAACATTCCTCTTCTTTCTTTTCCCTTATATGCAGAGAGGATGAAATTGAGGACATTCAGAAGGTATATAATCTTATAGATTACTCCTACTTTGCAATACATCTATTATACTAAATGTTCAATTGTTTTTCATCAACTTAACTATTTTCAGGAAATCTCTGTTCTGTCACAATGTCGATCTCCGTACATTACTGACTATTATGGGTCCTTTCTCAATCAAACTAAACTTTGGATAATAATGGAATACATGGCTGGAGGCTCTGTTGCTGATCTAGTAGGTTACTTCTATTGACTTGCTTCTATATGTTCAATGCATGAAAGTGAAGTTGATGTTCCTCAGAAGTTGCCTCCATTAATAGAACATCCCTTGATTGTCCTTGAACTTTTTCATATTTATTTGAATTCTTAAAGCACAATTGCTGATAAGAAAATCTGGTTACAGCTTAAAGTTTACATATAGACATTAAAAATATGCCTAGAATGGCAGTAAGGGGACATAATGGCAGTTGGGGACTATGGTAGGGTTCGAGGTCTGAAGTTCAGATCTCATTGGGAGGGGTGGGATTTATGGGAGGGAGATAGGATACCCCTTGTTCTAGTGGATATATAAGTGTATAGAACTGGAGTATATTTGAGGATGGTTTAAGTTATGATTCCTTATGTGTCCCTGTATGTCTTAAATATCATGTGTTAGTAATTGTTGATGTCAAGACAATTTGTAGGTCGATGTTGGTTGGTTTTGTTTCTCAGACTTCAATTTTGTCTGGTATACCCTTGACCATGCGGAGCTTTATAGCACTAGGCTGCCTTTATTATTCCTATACTTACAACTTCCTTTTAAACCTCTTGTTTTGTTTGTTGTGTTTGTTTGTTTCTTGTTCTAAGAAAATTTCTTGTCCTTATTCTTTGTACTTCACTTATTAAATTTTTAGGCATTGTCATTTTTTGGCTTTCACTTTGATAGAATATCTTAGCATATCTCCATAATATATTCGTAATATCTTCAAATATATTTAGAATGTATTGTGGAATCATTCAGTCATGTCATTTAATTGAAGATAGTTATTTCCTATTCATTATTTTTCTTGATTTATTTCCTTATTCAATTAGGGTTAGTAGTCTTATTGTATTAGTGGGCTTGGGCTAGTAATACGACACTAGTATTTGACCTAATTATTAGTATAAATAAAACCATTTGGTCAGTATTTTATATTATATTATTTCACATCATATTAATCTAATATTATTTAACATCATTTTCCTTCTCTTTTCCCCCCTTTTCTCTACCTAAAATCTATAATTTTAACATGGTATTTGAGAGGTACCATCATCCGTGACCGATTTCCCTAACATCTAGAACTCCTATTACATTATTAGTGATATAGCTCACTTAGCTGTAGTTTTAGCTTTGCTAATATTACTTTACTTCTGTTTGTATCAGATAACTACTAGTCTTTCTATTTTGTATTCTGTTAGTTTGACTTGAGAAAGGTAATCTGATATATTATTAAATTGAATGTTAACTGTACAAAGGGTTCTCTATTTAAAGAGACTATACGACCTAATGGGCTAAGCCCAATACAACAAATAAATAAATAAATATTTATTACTTACAACACTCCCCCTCAAGCTGAGGAATAGATATTTATCATTTCCAGCTTGCTAGTAAGCTCTTGAAATCTGTCTGAAGGAAGTCCCTTTGTCAATACATCAGTTAATTGACACCCAGTGGGAATGTATGGAGTGGTAATCAACCCGCTATTAAGTTTCTCTTTGATGAAATGGCGGTCGACCTCAATATGTTTAGTCCGATCATGCTGAACTGGATTATGAGCTATACAAATAGCGGACTTATTATCACATAGCAACTTCATAGGTCCCTCACATTTTATTTTGAGATCATCAAGTACAATTTTTAGCCACAGTAACTCACAAATGCCTTGAGCCATAGCTCGAAATTCAGCCTCTGCACTTGATCTTGCAACCACATCTTGTTTCTTACTTCTCCATGTCACCAAGTTATCACAAAGAAACATACAATAACCAGTGGTAGAACGACGGTCAGTCACAGATCCAGCATAATCAGCATTAGTGTAGACTTCTAAAGAGAGATCTCCTTCACGCCGGAATAACAATCCTTTACCAGGAGTAGCTTTAAGATACTGGAGAATTTTCTCCACTGCCTGCATGTGTTTCTCTTTTGGATTGTGCATAAACTGACTGACAACACTAACAGCATAAGCTAGGTCTGGTCTAGTATGAGCCAGATATATCAATTTCCCAACTAGCCGTTGATATTGTCCTTTATCAACTGGAGGACTCGCCTCTTCATAGCTTATCTTGTGATTCTGCTCAATAGGAGTATTAGGGTTTACACCCGAGCTTTCCTGCTTCTTTGAGAAGATCAAGAACATATTTCCTCTGGCTGATAAAATTTCCTTTGTTTGAATGAGCTACCTCTATTCCTAGGAAATATCTCAGTTTCCCAAGGTCTTTAACTTCAAACTCAGAGGCTAGTCGTGTTTGTAGAATATGTCTTTGCACAAAATCATCACCTGTGATAATAATATCATCAACATATACAAGGAGCACAGTGAGCTTCCCATCTTGGGAGTGCTTAAAGAAAAGAGTGTGATCTCCTTGACTCTGTTTGTATCCTGAGGTCATCATAATCTTAGTAAATCTTCCAAACCAGGCACGAGGTGACTGCTTCAATCCATACAAGGCCTAATTTAATCTACAAACTTTATTTTCTCCGTTCACAAAATCAAAACCAGGCGGGATTTCCATGTAGACTTCTTCTTCTAACTCACCATTAAGGAAAGCATTCTTCACATCAAATTGATTTATATCCCAATTGTAATGAGCAGCAAGGGATAACAAGACTCTCACCGTATTCATCTTTGCAACTGGAGCGAAGGTTTCTTCATAATCAATGCCATAGGTTTGAGTGTAACCTTTGCGACTAATCGAGCCTTATATCTCTCAAGAGTGACATCAGAATTATACTTCAGGGCATAAACCCATCTGCACCCTACTGCTTTCTTTCCGTTGGGTCTATCAATAACCTCTTATGTTTTATTTTTCTCCAACGCATTCATCTCCTCTTGCATGGCTTGAGCCCAATTCCCATCTTTCAATGCTTCATGTACTGATTTTGGGATTGAAATAGAATCTAGTGCTGAAACAAAGCTTTTGTGCTGCACAGAAAGATTAATAGAAGAAACAAAATGGGAGATAGGGTATTGAGTACAAGAGGGACAGGAGGAACAAGATTTCTTGGAACAAGATCTTTTTCCTTTTCTTAGGGCAATGGGTAAATCATCATAATCAGTAGTAATAGGTAAGTCATCAGAAGTATTAATATCTTGATCAGAAATATGAGATTCAGGACTTACCAGTGGTTCAGACGATTGAGGTTGTTGGTGAAGCAATGTGGGTTGTTTCCTTCTATGATATACTAACTCAGGTGTCACAATCTTCCGTATCTCTGGTGTACTTGGAGGATCAGACTCAGGAGGATCAAACATAGAAGAATCAGACACAGGAGGAACAGACATAAGAGGAGTAGGTGAAGGAGTAGACACTGAAGATTCAAACTCAAAGAAGGAAGGTGATGAGTTTTCTGGTGAATTATTCTCCCCCTAAAGATGAGGACTTTAGAAAAAAGACTCAGATTCCTGAAATGTAACATCCATAGAATATTGAAAAGAAGTTTCTGTATATATTGATTTTGAATAATTTACATGAGAGAGTATTTATACAAGAAAGAATCGCTAAGAATGACTAAGCGATGACTAAGCGATGACTAATCAATCCTAATCACAATCAATTCTAATCAATCACAATCAATCCTAATCAATCATAATCAATCCTAATTAATAGGAAATAAAAACGGAAACATGTTTGGATTCTGATTTTCTACACTCCCCCTCAAGTTGGGAGGTAAATATTGATCATTCCCAACTTGCCAATCAAGTCTTCGAATGCTGGACGGTGTAGGCCCTTGGTAAGGATATCTGCCGTTTGCTCTTTGGTTGGAACGTATATCAAACGCACACTTCCATCATCTAATTTTTCTTTGATGAAGTGACGATCAACTTCCACGTGCTTTGTTCGATCATGATGCACAGGATTTTGAGCAATGCTAATAGCTGCCTTGTTGTCACAATATAGTTTTATTGGTAGGGAATATGAAATCTTCAACTCTTGAAGAAGTCTTCTCAACCAGATTCCTTCACAAACTCCATGAGATAAAGCTCGAAATTCTGCTTCAGCACTACTTCTTGCAACCACTGTTTGCTTTTTGCTTCTCCAAGTAACAAGATTTCCCCACACATAGGTGCAATAGCCTGAGGTAGATCTCCTGTCTACTGATGAGCCTGCCCAATCTGCATCAGTGTAGATTTCAATTGTCCTTTTATACCCCTTTTTAAAGAATAATCCTCTTCCTGGAGTATTCTTGAGGTATCTAAGCACCCTATAGACTGCACTAAGATGCTTCTCCTTGGGTGAGTGCATGAATTGACTAATCATACTCACCGCAAAGGCAATGTCAGGACGCGTATGAGATAAGTAGATTAGTTTACCAACCAATCGCTGATATTGTTCTTTATCCACCTCATTCCCATCTTCAATACCTAACTTGGTATTAGGTTCCACAGGTGTCTCAGCAGGTTTACACCCTAACATTCCTGTTTCCAACAAAAGATCTAGAACATATTTTTTTTGTGTTAGAGTGATGCCTGTTTTGCTCCTAGCAACTTCCATACCAAGGAAATATTTGAGAGTGCCAAGGTCTTTGAGTTCAAATTGAGCTGCTAGAAATTTCTTCAAGGTGTTCAATTCCTCAATATCATCACCTGTAAGAATTATATCATCTACGTATACAATAAGAATAGCAATTTTACCATCCTTAGAGTGTTTGTGGAAGAGAGTATGATCAGTCTGTGCTTGAATTAAGCCTCTTCTTTTGACTGCTTGTGTGAATTTGTCGAACCATTCTCTGGGAGACTGTTTCAATCCATATAGAGACTTTTTTAGTTTACACACTGATCCATTTCCCTTTTCAAAACCAGGTGGAGGATCCATATAGACTTCTTCATGTAAGTCACCATTTAGGAATGCATTCTTCACATCTAACTGTTGCAGAGGCCAATCTAGATTGGCAGCAAGAGATAAGAGAACTCGGATGGTATTGACTTTAGCAACCGGAGCAAAAGTCTCATGATAATCTATCCTATGAGTCTGAGTGAAACCCTTTGCAACCAATCT